ATGATTAATGTGCAATCCCCTCTTCTTTTAATAATATCATGATTTAAAGTTGTAAAAAACAAAACTCAAATAATATATTTTATAGTGCTGTCAAAATGGTGGTAATCCGTGAGCCAACCCAGCTTACCACGGGTTTAAATCGGGTTGGATTTGAAATTTTTTTTTTATGGGGTTCACTTAGAACCCGGTTTACTTGGTTGAACCTGTGGTGAGTCAGGTTGACTCACCAACTCACCTAATTTAATTTAATTATTATTATTTTGTATTTCAATATTATTAGTTAACATTTTTTTTATTATATTATAGATGAGATAAAAAAAATAGATGTTTCAAGAGATAAAAATACATTTTTTTATTTTGAATTTTCTTTTAAGTTTAACATTATTTTAAATTGAAACTTATTTAGATTTTTAATTTAAAAATATATAATTTTTTATTTAAAAAAAACTTATAATTAAGTGATCTAATGAGTCAATTCGTTTAATTCAAGTCGAGCCGGATTCGAATTTTTTTAGCTCAGTAATAAGTGAACGAGGTTGGGTTGGTTCATTAAGTGACCACCACATAGTGAAACAGGTTGAGAGTCGAGATGAGTTACCCATTTTGACAACTCTAATATTTTATTTTCATTTTCTAAACACGTCATGATATATAATATAATTTAACAAATTATGATGAATATTACAAGTCGAATTCAACATATATATTTTGATATCAATGAACGATTTAATTTAATTTGTTTAGATCTTTGGTTCTATTATTTTTAATCTATTTAATGATAACTTTAATTCAATATTATTTATTATTATAATACGTGAAAAAATTATTTTAATATCTATTTTTTTAGTGTTTTAAGATTTAGTTTTTTAATTATCTTACATCTTTTTATATTTATTTTGTTTCTACATGTATATGAAAATTATTCTATCTTTTGATTCATTTATTTTATTTTTTAATTTTTATATTTATTTTGTTGTTATATATACATAGAAGTTATTTTATTTTTTTAATTCATTTATCTTATTTATTATTTTTTAATTTTACTATTTTATTTTTTTGTAAATTTTTTATATTTATTTCATTATCACATCTGTATAAAATTCATTTTTCCTTTTCATTCATTTATTTTATTTTTAAAATATTTATTTTATTTTATTATTTTTTAAATTTTATTTTGTTATCACATTTGCATATAATTTATTTTACTTTTTCATCTATTTATTTTATTTTAAAACTAACTTTTTTATTTATATTTATTTTGTTATTACGCATGAAATTATTCTGTTAATCAATTATTTTTTATTTATTATGTAAAAATTAAACTAATATCTCGTATATATTATAATATAATAAAAGAGTTATCGGAAAAATAACATTATTTTTCACAGTTGTTCATTGATAACTGTCTTTTTGTCATTTGATATTTTTATGATGTTAATTATTTTTTTTTATTTTTTTTTCTTTTATGATATTTTATTACTTAGTCACCTAATAAAATTAAACTTAAAATATATTTTTTAATTTTATTTTGTATTATGCTATCATTTAAAAATAATAATTATAATAATTTTATCTTAAGAAAAACTATCAACAATAAAACATGTATATTAAGTTATAATATAGATGTTTTTATTACTGAATATTATTCATGTTTTTATGTAAAATTTAAATTGATATTTACCTAATAAATAATCATCCGTCTACGTAGAATCCCGTGTGTGTATATATAAATAACACGCCCCTTAATATTATATATTTTTTATATTTTTTTAATTTATTTTAGTAATGTCATTAGTTTATGAAATTTAATTTTTACAAACCAATATCCTGTCAATTATATCTACTAGTTTGATTTAAGCAATAATAATAATAATAATAATGTTTAGAAATATACAGTAAGTACAACAATTAAATATAGTAAGGACAACAATTAAATATAGTAAGGACAACAATTAAATATAGTACTTAAATATACCAAATCACAAAAAATTAAAATTCTTTTTAATATTATAAATTTTAATATACTAAAATATTAATTCACTCATATAATTAAGGTAATTTAGTTGTTTTTCTATTGATATTTTTTATTTGATATTTTAATATTCCACGTAATTTATTTATTTGTATCTAAAGTTAAAATTCTTCTATCCATTCATTAATTGCATTAATTATTGAATAAGTATTCTAACTAATACACTTTGGACAAGTATGAAGAAATATTAAACAACTTTGTCTATATCATAATTAAATGAGTTTAACAAAAGTCATTAGATGAATTGTTTGGTACAATGTTTAGTTGAGTATAAAAATACTCATTAAATAAGTTTATCCATGTGTTAATTAGATGAGTCTATCAACAAACACTATATTGGTTTGTTTATAAATTGATAAGACGAGTTTAGAAAAAAAAATTATACAAGTTTTTTCATATGCAGATTAGACAAATCTATTAATACACATTTGAGAAATTTGTCCACTCACTAATCGCACGAATCTTGCAATACATATTAGACAAGTTTGAACATATACTGATTATACAAGTTTAATAGCACACATTAAACAAGTGTATCCATGTACTTATGAGACAAATATAACAGTACATATTTCAAGACTTTGTTAATGCATTGACTATACGGGTATAAGAATACACATCTCACAAGTCTTTTCATACACTCATTAGATGAGTGTCGAAAACAAATATTACACGAGTTTAAGAGTACATATTAAACGACATTGTAGATACATCGATAAAATTGATCATATTAGTTTAACAACACGCATTAAACAAGTCATTCATATACTGATTAGACAAGTCTAACAATATACATTAGACAAGTTTAACAATATAAATTAGACAAAAATTTTCATATACAAATTATAAGAATTCATGAATATACATTAGGTAAGTTTGTCAATTCATTGATTAGATGAATCTTACAATATATATATATATATTAAACGAATTTTTTTCATACACTAATTAAACATATTTAACAATACATATTAGACAAGTTTATCCATGCACTAATTAAGCAAATATTTTATACACAAAACATTAAACAAGTCATTTTATGCATTATTAGACTAGTATAAGAATAAAGATTGGACGAGATTATTCATTTAGTGATTAAATAAGTTTTGCAACGCCTATCACATATGTTTGTCCATGCATTAATTAAATGAATATAGTAATATATACGAGTCTATTAATACACATTATACAAACTTTATTCATTACATAATAATTAGTGTCTTGCAATACACAACAAACAAATATTGATTAATGTGTTCATATATTAATTAGATGAGCCTAATAAATATTAGATAAATATATCAATGCATTAGTTATATAAATCTAACAATAAACACAAACGAATATGTTTATACATTAATTATATTTATAACGAATATACTTAACATATTTGTGTATAATCTATTATTTATAAATTCTTATATGTCATGGATTCTAAGTTTTAAGGTTAAAGGTATTTTAATAATTTTCATTTTTAAAACTAAAAAAAACCCCAAACCCTTGCTCGTTCCTCTCAACCCTTTTCTCTTTCATCTCCCTCACTCAAACATTTTTTTTTGTCTTTTGTCATCCTATGGTAGTTCCAATTGAAAATTTTTGTCTTATCTAATTTTATCCAATTTTCACAAGTATAAAGGAATTGATAATTGACCTGGAAAAAAATTATAAATACTTGTTGTTAAACCATTTCTTACAAAAAAATGATTTTATAATGAGTTTTCATTTTATAATTTTTGTCTTATCTAATTTTATCTATTTTTCACAAGCATAATAATATCAAAGGAATTGGTAATTTGCCTGGAAAAAAAATCAGAAACACTCAGTTAAACAATTTCTTACAAAAAATGATTTTATAATGAGTTTTTCATTTTATAATTTTTGTCGTATCTAATTTTATCTATTTTTCACAAGCATAATAACATCCGAAGGAATTGATAATTGACTTGAAGGATTTTTTAGAGATGATGATTCAACATACGCAAATGATGAAATTAGAGAAGTTAGTGAAAATGGTGAAATTGAAGAAATCTTGAATGAACCTTTGCCTGAAGATGAATATGTCAATGTCTCAACTCTGTACAAAGGGTTTCTGATTTTTTCAATTGGGGCGTAGGGATGACAGAGAAAAGGTTGGAGTGAAAGAGATGAAAGAAAAAGGGTTGAAAAGAATGAGAGAGATGAATAAGGATTTCAGATGTTTCTTTTTTTTTAGTTTTGAGAATGAAAATTATTAAAATCCATGATATATAAGAACATTTTTGTCTACTAAAACCCCTCTCTCTCTCTATATATATATATATATTAATTTTCTAAACTTAAAAAAAAAATTCATGTTGATTTTATTAAAAATTTAATTATAAACTTAAAAAATATTATTATTTTTTTAAACTTTTTAAAAATCTTTTAATATAATATATATTTAAATATATTTTAATATAATATATATTTATTAACATAAAAAATACACAAGACCACATCAATCTGCGCGTAGAGGCACACATTTAAAATTAGTTAATTATTAAAACAAAACCACTTCACAATATAAATTGTTTATCAAAATCTAAAATATAGCTTACTAATTTAAATTATTTTCTTATTCCGTATTCCAATCACACTCTACTCTTTTATATGAGAAAAAGCTATTTATTATAAATTTTAATCGTCTTAAATAAATATATTTCATGTAATCACATACTAGTAGTTTTTTATATACATAATTTTTCGTTGACAATTTTATATATTATAATTACAAAATTAATATCTCGGGCCAAAAGATAAAGCTAATTCGATCATAAACCTTAATTTCCTTCTTAGATATGCGATTCCCAAATTGCCAGAGTTCTGAAGCGAATATTAGGGCACAAAATTTTTGAAGCTAAAGAGGAAAGAGAAGAAGGAAGAGCTTAGTTCTGTTTTCGTTCAAAGATTTTGTTCCAGGTCTTTACTCTTTCTTCTTTTTGTCTATATAAATTTCATCCAATGTTTGAATATTTATGTGGAACTTTTCATTTTTCTCTATCCACCGATCTCCTTTGGATTTCCATGTCGTGGGTTTGTGTACTTCACTGCAATAGAATGTGGCTTTGAAAGTGGTGTGATACTTACTTCGTGATCCTGACAGTGTCGTGCATTGTAGCAGACAACAAATGAACAAACTGGAGTTTCAGTAATACATGTATATTATGAGACAATACATAGGAACTGTCACGATTGCGTGCAAGAAAATCAAGCCTCTCTTGTTGTTAATTAGTTGATAATAAATATGATCTAGGTTGCGCTACAGGTTTTTGAGTACAAAGATATAAATTTTGTTTCTAGGTTGATAAAAAGACTCAACCAATTTGTAACTTATTGCAGAGAGAATTTTTCTGATACTTCTCTGAAATTTTTTGCTGCATTTCATTTGCATCTGCACCTTATAGACTTGATTATTATTCTCCGTCTGAATTTGAATTCCAAAGAGGATACAGTTAACTTTGCAATTTGATCTGTGTGCTCATCTGAATCCGGATCAAGTTTCTTACACGCATAATTGAATCCCAAAGTAGATACAATTAGAGTGTCTATTATGTACAGAGTTATTTGTATTATGTGCTGGAAATGACTGCCTGAGTTTAGTTTGTGCCTGGCATTACCGGTGTTAAAAAAGCCTAGCATTGTTACTTAATCTGAAGTCATAGTTGATATGGCAATATGATTTTTAAGGTGCATTTTAAAAGTTAACCAACTTTATGTACATGACAGTTTACATTGAATATCATTATAAGCATCCTTTACATGCATACACTAATTGTTCTTACTCTTTAACTATTTATTTTCATTTATATGGTGACTATTGATCAAATGACCTAGAGGTTTGTTAACGGTTTAATGCTTTACAACCTACTAATGGCGTTCAGGTTCTTGGCAGATGGTGAAAACAAAGCAGAAGCGCACAGGAAAAGTTCCTAGTAAAAAACGTGGTACTTCTTCGCAAGACCCTGTTGATTCTCGAAACTGTGACAAAGAGCATGAGGATAGTGATTGGGTTATAGTGAAAAAGCAGAGAGTAACCATTCTGGTGCCTGCTGTGCCTCTCAACGAGAGATCGTTAACAGCAAACCAAGGACCAAATCATACGCAACTTATGCCTCCTGAATTGGCAAGTAACCATGTGCAGCTTCCCATGGAGACATCTACTGTACATCCTTCAGATAATGAACATGAAAAAACCTTTTTATTGGCTGTCCAAAAAGAGACTCGTACCGAGAATAGAGCACCTCCTATCTTACCTACACCAATTGTGGTCAGTCCATCATCTTTAGATCAGAGAACAGAATCAGAAAATCCACATCAAATGAATGGTTTGAAGTCACATAAAGTACTTGGAATTTCTAATACATCAAAAGTTATTAANGGTGCATTTTAAAAGTTAACCAACTTTATGTACATGACAGTTTACATTGAATATCATTATAAGCATCCTTTACATGCATACACTAATTGTTCTTACTCTTTAACTATTTATTTTCATTTATATGGTGACTATTGATCAAATGACCTAGAGGTTTGTTAACGGTTTAATGCTTTACAACCTACTAATGGCGTTCAGGTTCTTGGCAGATGGTGAAAACAAAGCAGAAGCGCACAGGAAAAGTTCCTAGTAAAAAACGTGGTACTTCTTCGCAAGACCCTGTTGATTCTCGAAACTGTGACAAAGAGCATGAGGATAGTGATTGGGTTATAGTGAAAAAGCAGAGAGTAACCATTCTGGTGCCTGCTGTGCCTCTCAACGAGAGATCGTTAACAGCAAACCAAGGACCAAATCATACGCAACTTATGCCTCCTGAATTGGCAAGTAACCATGTGCAGCTTCCCATGGAGACATCTACTGTACATCCTTCAGATAATGAACATGAAAAAACCTTTTTATTGGCTGTCCAAAAAGAGACTCGTACCGAGAATAGAGCACCTCCTATCTTACCTACACCAATTGTGGTCAGTCCATCATCTTTAGATCAGAGAACAGAATCAGAAAATCCACATCAAATGAATGGTTTGAAGTCACATAAAGTACTTGGAATTTCTAATACATCAAAAGTTATTAAGCAGCCCAGAACACTACTTGCACCAAGAAGGCCCTCCAACCTGGAAACTTTGAATAAAAACTTAAGAGCATCAAATTTGGAGAGGAAGCTTGAAAGAGCTGGTGGACTGAGCAAGTGGCTGATATCACTTGGACTGGGGCAGTTTGTGAGAATTTTTCAGGGTAAAAGTGTCAGTAAGTATCAGCTGGTAAATCTAACCATGAAAAAACTCAAGGATATGGGTGCCAATGCAGTGGGACCTCGCAGGAAACTGATCCATGCCATGGACTGTGTTTGTCAGCCATATTGCTTTGAGGCATAGTAAAAGGTTTTAGAATTTTGAAACTATGTACAAAATGTTCCAAGACATGGCACAAATGCAAAACTTTTTGTTTCTAGATGTTGTTATAGCTTACAGTACCTGAGTCTCAGCGCTTGTTGAGATTTATGCATATAATAATTACATTAGCTTTTAGACGCATTCTAAACAATGCTTCCGTTTAGATTGGTGCATCCATTCACTTCAATATGTTATTGGTTGTTGTAAGTAGTTTTACTTTTGGAACACCACCACAAAGCATTCTCTGACTTGAGCACTTTTGCAATTAACTTGGTTTAGTTTTCGTTTTTCCCCATCAAATCAAGGCACTTTTCTGTAAACAAGAACGCGCTCCAAATATCACTCCTTCCTTTGAGGGTGCGTGGATTACTACTAGGCTGTTAAAATTGTAGTGTTACCTTCCATTTGAAATGGGTTTCTCGAAATTCTTATTTTCTTCTCAACCAGCTGTTAATATTTGCTCATCTTTTTATTCTCAAGTTACATCAACATTCCAAATCAACTTAAATAAGTAAATATGTTAATTCTTTATACATTTTATCCTAAGCTTCTAAAACAAGGTTTTAAGACTTAGCTGAGTTATAAAAAGTCATAACTTGCACTCAAGGGATCTAACTCACAAACAAAACACATCTTATCAATTTCTACTATCAAATTTTAATATAGTTCATTCATATTTCACACGGAAGCTTTATACACCACGCAAAAATAATATAGTTTATTCATATCTCACATGCAAGGTTTATAGATACCAATATAGTTTTGATTTTTTTTTATTTTTATCTTTTTAATTAATTATGAGAAATAATAATGATTCATATAATAAAAATTAAATACAATATTAATTGGTATTAAAAATTATTTATTGAGAATTAACCGTTACCTCAACCGATTAGCCTTTGTTCATTGTAATATTTAGTACAATTTTTATGATTAATTTTATTGATTTTCTTACGACATGGAGATAATATGTTTTGTTGAAGACAAATTAGATGGAATGTATTAATAGTGCCTCGTGCAATTATTATTTCATTTACGTAACACATTTTGGTTTTTGCCAGTGATGGAGCATAGGCTCCATTCATTTATGATGTCGAATGAGACAAACTCAACTCTAACCTAACTCTTGCATTATTCTTTACACATTATTTGGTTAAAGTATAGAAACACTTATTTTCTTCTTAAATATTTTTGCATAAATGATTTATAAAATAAACTATTGTAATAAAAAAAATAAGTAATAAAAAAAATGACTTGAAGAATAAATCTATAAAATGACTGTATAATTTTTTATATTAGTTTAAAGACTAAATACAAGATAAAATAATATTTGAAAGGCTAAACGGATAATATTGAGATGACAAGTAGAGTGTATGGCTGCAACATTCCATTGAGATTAAGTTTATATAAAAACAAATGGAATGAATTGAAATAGGATAGAATAGAATATAATGGAATAGATACTCTAACACCCCGGCAACTCACTAGGAACATCGACTGCTCCCACATATCACCACGAGGCTTTTCAATATGCTTTGTTCTCACTCGCACACTTTCTGGGAAAACTTCTCAGAAGGTCACCCATCCCTAAATTACTCCAGTTTAAATTACTCCAGGCTAAGCACGCTTAACCATGGAGTTCTTATGAGTTAGACTACCGAAAAGCAAATGCATTTGGTGATATGAGTAGTCAAATCAATCCATTTAAGCTATCATTCAACTGTATAGTCCCATACCTACACAGTCTCTAGATCCTTCTCATTCCGGTGTATGTTCGATTCATCCATGTGTCCCTTTCACTCGAGGCCTGCCAGGAGCCGCTCCTTGTCTGTGTCCCTTGCACTTCATGCCTCTTACACCGGCGTCACTCCCTTGCCCTCGTCAGTGCCCGGGTGTCACATATGTCAATCTCTTTATATTATATAACAATAATGATGATTTTATCTTGTCGTTTGAAAAAAAAANTTAAATTACTCCAGGCTAAGCACGCTTAACCATGGAGTTCTTATGAGTTAGACTACCGAAAAGCAAATGCATTTGGTGATATGAGTAGTCAAATCAATCCATTTAAGCTATCATTCAACTGTATAGTCCCATACCTACACAGTCTCTAGATCCTTCTCATTCCGGTGTATGTTCGATTCATCCATGTGTCCCTTTCACTCGAGGCCTGCCAGGAGCCGCTCCTTGTCTGTGTCCCTTGCACTTCATGCCTCTTACACCGGCGTCACTCCCTTGCCCTCGTCAGTGCCCGGGTGTCACATATGTCAATCTCTTTATATTATATAACAATAATGATGATTTTATCTTGTCGTTTGAAAAAAAAATGAAAGAAAAATAATTCATTTTTCATTTTATCTTTATTTTTAGTAATTTATGTATTTTATCTGTTATTTTTTTTAAATATTTTTAAGAAAATGTTTCTTTTTATATTCGTACTTTAAAGTCAACTTCTTCGAGTGGGATTCCTTCCTGTCGACCCTGTCGAGCACGTGTTACTGTGAAATTAAAATACTTTATAATTTGGTAACTAAATATCATAGGCATTACAACAAGTCTTGGATTATTATCTTGATGAACTAATTAGGTTTAGATAATAGAAATCTTCATAGAACTATGAAGTGTGGAAGTTGAATTGATTATTGTGCTGATTGAAATATTGGATTAATGAGTTAGTGATTGTAAAATGAGATAATATAAATTAATTTGGTTTGATTTAGTTTATCCATATTTCATCCAATACGAATAATTTGTAATATGCTCATCCAAGTTGTAAACTGTTTTATCTACTATATCATGCACAAATGTGGGTTGGTTCAGAAATTATCAAGAAAATGAAAATAACCATTGCTATAACTTATTAAAGAACATGAATGTTTTGAAATCACTATCTCTTCCTTGATTAAAATTTTCTCACGCTATTTGAAGTTTCATTCAATTAGACCTCCATAATTTATTTATTTTTAAATTATCATTGCTTATTTCTTCTAAACTTTGATTAGTTTCAATAATTATATTGAGATTCATATAACTCTTTAAAGTTTTTTTTATCTACTTTTTTTTCTTCTCTATCATGTTTAACATGGATTTTTGTAATATTACCAATTAATTTGTTTCTCCATATTATCAATTCCTTATGATTTAACAAAGTTATTTTTTTATCAGAAAAAAAAAATAAAAATAGTAAAATATTTGTGGGGTGCTCTAATTCTTTTTACAAAAAGTATATGATATTATTTACATAAGAGGTACACAAACTTAGCATCGTGAATCACAAAAAAAAAAAAAAGCAACTCCTTACAAAATCACTATATATATATATATAGCGACACAAGATTGAAAGTCCATATGAGTTCAAAAGCACAACACATACTTATAAAATTAGGAGTAATTAACTCTAGTTAGTCATTGGTGGACATATACATCTTTATTCTCACCAATCTTAACCAAAAGAAGGTATTAATGTTCACCATTTGATATTGCTTTCTCTCAAGAAGGTGGATATTATCTTTTTATGATATTTACACAATGTCTATACCCAATCTTCCTTCCAATCATGCGTCTTTTGATCTCTTCATCTTAGTTACTTAGTTTCGACTTTGTTCTTTGCCCTCTTCTTCATTTATGATTGCTATTTCCAAATACTTGAAATACTTCTAACAAACTGGAATTACCCATTCACAAAGATTTTAAGAACAAGAAACATACACCAGTCACTATAATCACTGTATGAGAATTTAACATTATGAATCTTACGTTTGATCTAGGTTTAAACATTCACTTGAGCTAAGTCAATTTTTTTTTCTGATTTACCTCCCGTGGCCTAAAAATTACCTCATTTGTTTCCATATCTCCCCAACAATTGCTATCCACATACCCTTCTAAATGATATTTTCTTACTATTAAGATTGAAAAGATTGAATTGTTGAAAATTGGCTATAGGTTGATTATGATGCACCTTAGTCACTCACATGCATCTATCACACATGTTCCATACTCTATGAAATACTTTAAATAAAAATTATAGGTGAGTCACACTTTCCTCTTTATTTAAGCGTAACTCACGCAAGTTATTTTGTAAGTGTATCCCCTTTATGGGTAATTTGTCTTTTGTTGGTAACTTGTCCAACAACACTCTTCATCCTAATAGATGTTTCTTTGGAATTACTTTGGTGCTTCATTGGAGTTTAAATACACTTCTCCTATCCCCTTATATGTTTCTCTACAAGATATTGTATGCAGAGTCCATTGTAAAGACACAATTATCATATTTCTTTCAAGTTTATGTGTCTAGACTTCATTTGTTAAAATTTTTTCTTATTATAAACTCAAGAAGCTATAATTCTTGAGCTATTTTCCATGCTCGTCTAACTCTCTTCCGTGTTAAATTTCACTTCTTGTTAACGTTTAATTATCATTTTTAAAGTTAAGTGTATTATTAATTACAAATTATTATTCATATGATTGCTTTTCACCCAATATTTAATTAGATTGTATATATCTATTGTAACATAAAAAATAAAAGAGTTAAGATGAAATCAATTTATTAAATATGGTGTTTAGTGCACACAATATAACGTGCTAAATAACGTTAGAATATAATATAAATTATGTTTAAGTAGATTTTTTTTCATTAAAACTATATATCATTTTCTAAAATTTAACATTAATTTTGTTGTAGATTATGGAAACGATTAAAAATAACTTTTAATTAAATTATATAAAATTTCATTTTTATATAACTATTTTTTTAATTGTAAGAAACATATAAGATTTTAAAATTATAGTTAACATTTTAAAACTATTTTTATACTAATAACATTTTTTAAGTACTCATCTATTTATGATTATAACGACTTATACTTAGTAAAATGGTTATGAGCTTTAATTCAAAAGGACGTATCATTCAAATAGATGATAGGATAATATAAGAAATAATTTTTTCCAATATGTGTTTATATTACTTACATACTTGATTGTATTATATTACATAATTAATGCCTTGATATTTAGAATATGTATCATAAGGTTGAAAATAAAATTTTGAATTTGTAATAAATACAATAATTTTATCTGTATTTATAAATTTTGAGATCAACTTTTAATTAAGATTAATCTAATCATGGTTAAAAATTAATAAA